TAAGTTCCAGGAAAACTGATGCTGTCTTTCACCGTGGGAATCTGAGTCTCCTTTGGGTGGCTGTAAGACAAAAGGGGAGGGACTCTGAAGTATGCCTTCTGTGACCTTGCACTTACCCACTAAACCGAGTCTATAAATTTTGTAAGCCCAAAGACCCCTGACAAATGCCCATACCATGGACACTTTGCTACTCTACCTAGCTGTGACTCTATACACCCAAGCAGGGCATCGCAAGACAACCCCGCTCACAGACTGTAAAGCCATTGGCTCGACTGTCTAAGGTAACTGACATATTGATGTCTAACTGAGCAATATTCTATCTACCCACTGATCCACTGAGCGGGACAGAGCAGTTCCAGGTTAACCCCAAGTGAGACATCCCACACCTGTGACAACACACACCATGTGACACAATTAAGAGACAAAAGACAAAAAACAGGAACGAGACAAAGGACGTGACACAAACCAAAACTGCTCTGCCCTGCACACGTGAATCCAGGGACACAAAGTAAACCCTTCCTTCCATGTGTCCAAATAATCTGTTACAAAATACCCATTGCACTGCACTAATTTCAAAAATCCCTCCGGGCGACGCAAACACTTGCACCGACTCCCAACCCCTCTCTGGATCTTTGCCCTGCACTTATCTTGCCGACAGCCGGGGACGCAAATCCATCTTTGATGCAGAGCAGGGGCACCTGGGCTAGGTCAGAGGTTCCTGTCATCATGAGAGTACTCCAAGTCAACTACGAGAAAGAAAACCAGAAGCAATATGTGAGTTGTGTGTCATGCGGCTCAAACCCCAGTGATCCCCCTACTCACCATCAGCGAGACCACATCGGAGTCGGACACTGTGGTTGTCACCTTCCAGGATACCTGAGTGAGTGAGACACAACATTAGAGGGCAGTTTTAAAGCTGCAGGGGATCCCTACTCCTCCTGCTGCCTCCCCAACTCACCTAGAAGGCTCCTCTCTCTTCAGCTGCTCCCAAGGTCTCCCCTGCAAATGAAAGGGGTAAATGTTCAAACACTGAGCTCTCAAACATTTAGGGATGGCTCACAAGCAAAGCCAAAAATCTCTTAAGCCCAGCAGACTCCACGCTGAAGCATTGCTACACACCCTGAAGTGGACAGACGGCCGCTGTGAGACAACACGGACGTGGAGGTTTGTGCTGACGTACTGCCTCATCCTGGCTATCTCGGGCTTCTTCAGCTTGACCTCTTATAGGATGGACCTTCGGCACCTTCAGCACATGGGCAAAGGGTTGTGTATCGCCTGGAAAAAAAATTAAACAGCTACAACATATATACAGAGATTGACCACACAGACAACATCCTCAAACTAACTCCAAACTCGGTTCAGGAGGAAAACTCTCACCTTGCTCGTCTCCCTGCTCAGCCGCTACCCCTCGAGACCGATTGGGCCCCACCTGGAAATTAAAGAACCAAAAGGCACAAGATAAAGGACTCCTGTGGCTAAAACTGACATCCTGCATCCAACACCTAATACAACCTTCTTACCAGGTTGCTTCAACTCCTCTTGGTCTGGGGTTCGTTGTGTCCGCTTATCTGAAAAGAAAACAAATAAAAACAAAGGGTTAGTCAGGTCACCCACATGGTCACTGAGATCTTAACCACTTAACTCATCTCCACTGAGCGAGTGAGAACTCTGACCGCAGCCTACAAGAATACAAATGATAACCCAGTTGCGAGGCCCTGTTGTCCAAGTACCATCAGCTCCACAACACTCGGCTATAACGACGGCACACGAGTTATGTACACCCGCTCCATCCGGCAGGACCGTACAGCCATCGGCTCCACTGACTGAGGTAACTGACATGCTGATGGGAGACTCTGAGCAATATTCTATCTACCCACTGATCCACGGAGCAGGGCAGAGCAGTTCCAGGCTGACCCCAAGTGAAACACCCCGCACCTGTGACGACACACACCATGGAACACAATTAAGAGACAAAGGACACAAAACAGGGATGAGACAAAGGACGTGACACAGACCGGAACTGCTCTGCCCTGCACAAGTGAATCCAACAATACAAAGTAAACCCTTCCTTGGATGTGTCCAAATAACCTGTTACAAAATACCCATAGCACTGCACTAATTTCAAAAATCCCTCCAGGTGAGGCACACACTGGCACCGACTCCCAACCCCTCTCTGGGTCTTTGCCCTGCACTTATCTTGTTGACAGCCGGGGATGCGAATCCATCTTCGATGCAGAGGAGGGGCACCTGGGCTGACTCAGAGGTTCCTGGCATCGGGAGAGTACTCAGACTCAACTGTGAGAAAGAAAACCAGACTCAAGATCTGAGTAGTGTGGCACGTGACCCCAGCCCCCGTGATCCCTCTACTCACCGTCACCCAGGCAGGTCCTCCTGTCACTGGCTCTGACCAGACTTGGACAATGTGCTGTCATCTTCTGGGATACCTGAGCGAATGAAAGACAAAATTAGAAGACATTTCTGAAGCTGCACTGGATCCCTGCTCCTCCTGCTGCCTCCCCAACTCACCTAGAAGGCTCCTCTCTCTTCAGCTGCTCCCAAGGCCTCCCCTGCAAATGAAAGGGGTAAAGGCTCAAACACTGAGCTCTCAAACACTTAGGGATGGCTCACAAGCAAAGCCAAAAATCTCTAAAGCCCAGCAGACTCCACGCTGAAGTGTTGCTACACACCCTGAAGTGGACAGACGGCCGCTGCGAAACAACACGGACGTGGAGGTTTGTGCTGATGTACTGCCTCATCCTGGCTATCTCAGGCTTCTTCAGCTTGATCTCTTATAGGATGGACCTTTGGCACCTTCAGCACACAGGCAAAGGGTTGTGTATCGCCTGGAAAAACAATTAAACAGCTACAGCGTATATGCAGAGATTGACCACATAGACAACATCCTCAAACTAACTCCAAATTCGGCTGGGGAGTAAAATTCTCACCTCGCTCGTCTCCCTGCTCAGCCGCTACCCCTCGAGACCGAGTGGGCCCCATCTGGAAAATAAAGAACAAAAAGGCACAAGATAAAGGACTCCTGTGGCTAAAACTGACATCCTGCATCCAACACCTAATACAACCTTCTTACCAGGCTGCTTCAACTGATCTCGGTCTAGGGTACACTGTGTCCGCTTATCTGAAAAAAAAACCAACAAAAAACAAAGGGTTAGTCAGGTCACCCACATGGTCACAGAGACCTTAACCACTTAACTCATTTCCACTGAGCGAGTGAGAACTCTGACCGCAGCCTACAAGAATACAAATGATAACCCAGCTGCGAGGCCCTGCTGTCCAAGTACCATCAGCTCCACAACACTCGGCTATAACGACGGCACACGAGTTATGTACACCCGCTCCATCCGGCAGGACCGTACAGCCATCGGCTCCACTGACTGAGGTAACTGACATGTTGATGGGAGACTCTGAGCAATATTCTATCTACCCACTGATCCACGGAGCAGGGCAGAGCAGTTCCAGGCTGACCCCAAGTGAAACACCCCGCACCTGTGACAACACACAACATGTGACACAATTAAGAGACAAAGGACACAAAACAGGGATGAGACAAAGGACGTGACACAGACCGGAACTGCTCTGCCCTGTACACGTGAATCCAACGATACAAAGTAAGCCCTTCCTTCCATGTGTCCAAATAACCTGTTACAAAATAGCCATTGCACTGCACTAATTTCAAAAATCCCTCCAGGTGAGGCACACACTTGCACCGAGTCCCAACCCCTCTCTGGGTCTTTGCCCTGCACTTATCTTGCCGACAGCCGGGGATGTGAATCCATCTTCGATGCAGAGCAGGGGCACCTGCGCTGGCTCAGAGATTCCTGGCATCGGGAGAGTACTCGGAGTCAACTGCAAGAAAGAAAACCAGACTCAAGATCTGAGTAGTGTGGCACGTGACCCCAGCCCCCGTGATCTCTCTACTCACCGTCACCGAGACAGGTCCTCCTGTCACTGGCTCTGACCAGACTTGGACAATGTGCTGTCATCTTCTGGGATACCTGAGCGAGTGAAAGGCAAAATTAGAGGGCATCTCTGAAGCTGCAGTGGATCCCTGCTCCTCCTGCTGCCTCCCCGACTCACCTAGAAGGCTCCTCTCTCTTCAGCTGCTCCCAAGGCCTCCCCTGCAAATGAAAGGGGTAAAGGCTCAAACACTGAGCTCTCAAACATTTAGGGATGGCTCACAAGCAAAGCCAAAAACCTCTAAACACCATCAGACTCCAGGCCGAAGCGTTGCTACACACCCTGAAGTGGACAGACGGTCGCTGTGAGACAACATGGATGTGGAGGCTTGTGCTGACGTACTGCCTCATCCTGGCTATCTCGGTTCCTTCAGCTTGACCTCTTATAGGATGGACCTTCGGCACCTTCATCAGACAGGTAAAGGGTTGTGTATCGCCTGGAAAAACAATTAAACAGCTACAACATAGATGCATAGATTGACCACATAGACAACATCCTCAAACTAACTCCAAATTCAGCTGGGGAGTAAAATTCTCACCTCGCTCGTCTCCCTGCTCAGCCGCTACCCCTCGAGACCGAGTGGGCCCCATCTGGAAAATAAAGAACAAAAAGGCACAAGATAAAGGACTCCTGTGGCTAAAACTGACATCCTGCATCCAACACCTAATACAACCTTCTTACCAGGCTGCTTCAGCTTCTCTCAGTCTGGGGTACATTGTGTCCGCTTATCTGAAAAGAAAACGAATAAAAACAAAGGGTTAGGCAGGTCACCCACATGGTCACTGAGATCTTAACCACTTAACTCATTTCCACTGAGCGAGTGAGAACTCTGACCGCAGCCTACAAGAATACAAATGATAACCCAGCTTCGAGGCCCTGCTGTCCAAGTACCATCAGCTCCACAACACTCGGCTATAATGATTGCACAAGAGTTATGTACACCCGCTCCATCCGGCAGGACCGTACAGCCATCGGTTCCACTGCCTGAGGTAACTGACATGTTGATGGGAGACTCTGAGCAATATTCTATCTACCCACTGACCCACGGAGCAGGGCAGAGCAGTTCCAGGCTGACCCCAAGTGAGACACCCCGCACCAGTGACAACACACACCATGGGACACAATTAAGAGAAGAAGGACACAAAACAGGGATGAGACAGAGAACGTGACACAGACGAGAACTGCTCCGCCCTGTACACGTGAATCCAATGATACAAAGTAAACCCTTCCTTGGATGTGTCCAAATAACCTGTTACAAAATACCCATAGCACTGCACTAATTTCAAAAATCCCTCCAGGTGAGGCACACACTTGCACCGACTCCCAACCCCTCTCTGGGTCTTTGCCCTGCACTTATCTTGCCGAGAGCTGGGGACGAGAATCCATCTTTCATGCAGAGGAGGGGCACCTGGGCTGACTCAGAGGTTCCTGCCATCGGGAGAGTACTCGGAGTCAACTGCGAGAAAAAAAACCAGACACAAGATCTGCCACCCATACTACCTTCAAAACACCCCTGGCAATCCCTAAGATGGTACCCCAGCCCTCCCTCCATCTCTAGGCTGTAACTCTCCACTGACTACTTACAAACCTGGGTGTCTGTAGCCATCTTCAACACAGAGCAGCTTCACCTGAGGACAGGATAACACTGGTGAAAAAATACCAAGCTGCAGTTGAAATGATTGGGAGATCCCAAAAGATGCAAGGCTCCTAAGGAAAAGAAAAAAGGATAACAAATTAGAAAAGCACCTTACCAACACAGCACACAAAATTATTCAATTTAAAAACCCTGCATTTGAGTGTAACCCTCTTTACTGCCATAAACAGCTCTGCTTCTTTGGATACCAAAGCTAATGCTTCAATAAAGCAGGAATAGCTTGAGAAATCCCATTCAATGAAAGGAAGGGAGAGCTCTTATCCCATTGAAGCCCAGCTGCTAAATGAGCTCACTGGCTCTGACTGGTGTCACACGCTGTGGCTGTCATCTTCTGGGATACCTGAGTGAGATACACACAAACTTAAAGGGGATTTCTAAAGCAACAGAGGATCCCTGCTCCTCCTGCTGCCTCCCTGACTCATCTCAACTGCTTATCTGCTCCCAAAGGTTAGCCAGATGCCATAAAACTGGACCCAGCTCTCATCCCCTCTCCAGGTGCTAGTCCTCCACTTATCTTTCCCACAGCTGGGGATGTGAATCCATCTTCGATGCCAAGGAAGGACGCCCGGCTGGCTCAGAGGGTCCTGTGATCCCTGACTGGGTCGGCTGTGAGAAAGAAAACAGAAACTGACACGAGAGTTGGGCAGCACGTGGGAGATAATCCCGCAATTGGCTACTCACCCTCCCCTGAGCTGAGAGGGGCCACTGGCTCTGACCCCAGTCGGAGGCTGCTGCCGTCACTGTGTGAGTACCTGGGGGAGTGAGAAAAAAAGTTACCGGGTGTTCCTGAAAGTAAGGGAGACCCCAGCACCTCCTCCCTACCTCCCAGACTCAACCTCAATGCTCCTCCTTTGCCAAAGGCAGGCAGGAGGGCACCTGCAACTGGAAAA